TCTTTCCCTCCCTCCCTCCCCCCTTCCTAGGAGTTCAGGGGGGATTTTATCGCTGTGAAGCTCTAAATCTCAATTTCCAGTATGTGAGGACTACCCTTTGTGTGGAATTAACTTGTACACAGATGCCTCGTTTGCTACTGGTTAGCAGCTGTAATAAAATAAATGAAAGTTTTCGCAGGAGTAATAAGGTCCTACTTGAAGATTCAGGGATCACAGTGCATAATCTGAACTCTAAATGCCCCGGAGGATGAGACGTTACTCATAATTACATTTACGGTGCCAGAAAGAGCGATAAGGAGCGTTCTGTTAAAGGTGACGAGCGCTGATGCCTGAAATTGCCACATCTCCGAAAACCCCAATTTGCCTTTTTATCGTCACAAATGAGAGCGACTGCTCTTTGAGGCCTCGGCGTTAAACAAAGAAAAATAAAACAAAGACCAAAAAGCAAACTCAGCGCCTGGGGTGGTGGCATCGGGGTTACAAGTCGGCTACAAGTTTCTGCCGAAAGAGGGCGTTGGTCTAAGACTAATAGAAATTTGTGGACACGGACGCCCAAATGAAAGACCATTTTCAAACATTCTCAATTTATTTTAATTTGTGGGACTTCAGTGTCAGAATTCACCCGTCCAATGTAGTACGTTCCCACTGCAAATGACCTCGGTGTGTTACCACGTTCAGAGGGTCAAGCTCCATTCGGACCTGCCCTGCAGCGCGGCGGACTCCGGCGAGGCTCCTCTGGCCACGGACTTCTCCACGGCCGTTTCCACCCTCGTCTCCACCGCTGCTGTGCCTGTGACAAGTGGCAAGACTGGGTCTGGGACGCAGGACCTTCCTCGGCACTACCGAAGCCGGAGCACAGGGTCTCGCGGTGCCCGCAGAAGCGGTGGGATTTCCGAGCGCACGGATTGGAGCGGAGGACGCGCCTCCACTCGGGGGACCCTTGGGGTAAAGCTTTAGGGCGAAGGTCTCTTTATTTAATTACCTGGCTTAGCAAGTAAAGCCCAGAGGACGCCTTGGAGATGCTTTTCAAGCATTCTTTCTGCCACCTTCAGAAGAACTGTTCTCTCGCCTTTGGAAGCAACAAGTTTAACTTTTCTGCTCGCAGCGCGCCGGCGGAGGTGTCCGTGCGCGGGGACCCTGGATGCCCGGCAGAACTGCGACTCTGGCGCGAACTCGCGCCGGCTCAAGGGGAGGAGGCCGGCGCGGGTGGGGAGCGCGGGAAGGAGGAATAGCGGGGACGCCCGTGCTAGCTGAGCGCTCCAGGTCCGCGACCGAGCCGTCTGCACCGGGACCTTGGTCCCTGTTCCCTGACCTTGCGCCAGGGGACCGGGAAGGTCGAGTGCACGCCCCGAGTGGGAGCATCAGGAGGGAATGTGGCTGGAGTGAGAAAGAGGTGAGAGTCAGCGGGACCAAGGGTGGTTTTTTTTTTGCAACGAAAGCACCAATTTCCAGGGCCACCTCCTTCCTTTAACCCTGTTGTTTTTTGCACGGCGTGGTGTGTGTGTGTGTGCGCCTGCGCGCGTTTCTTTACTTTCAAACATATTTCCATTTTTAAAGCCCGGAACTGGAAAGAGAGCTGCCGCGTGCGGGGCCAGGGAGAGGCGGGGACCCCGCTACATCCAGGTGGCGGTGTAGCGCGTTGGGGGCTCCCGCCGGTACAGAAGTGAGCGACTGTGGCTTTAAGGAAAAGGCCCAGGTCTGGCGGGGAGCGGGGAGTTAGGGACAGGGGAGGGGTGGGAAGAGTAGGGGTGCGGGGAGGAGTCTTGATGTAAGAATGTTAATGAGAGGCTCCCCTAGCCCAGCCGCC